ATTAGCTTTAGGAAGTTTACAGGAGATGTTAATTAAGTAAAGATCTTGAATTCCTTTAAAAAAAATGCAAATATGTTTTGCCTTTTATGCCAGAGGTGTAGATTAAGATCTTGTTTTGAGAGATTGGTTATAGCTATTTGGTCAAACTTAAAAACAACATTACGGTAGTCCCTCTTTTATTTCGGGGGCTACATTCCGACCCCCCCCCCCCCACACACACACACACACACACACACAATAAGTGAAAATTTGCGAAGCAGGGATGTTATATTAATTTTTTAGCATTTATTTATATTTTAAGGCTTTATAAACTCTTCCCACATGCTCGAGATGTTCTAAGCTCTTAAGCCTGAAAATAAAACAAACAACAAAAAATAAAGTTAAAAAATAAAATACTCACCAGCGCTGCAGAAACAGCGGCTCGGTTCCAGTCCGGCAGACCTACCCTGCTGGTTCTGCTCTGGTTCTGGTCTGCTCTCTGCAGCCCTTGAGCACCAAAACACTTTTGGAGGGAGCCGGACCTTCGGATTGCCAGTGATCGAGACTAAATCTGAATGGGGAAAAAAGTCCCAGTGGGCTCCGGAGAAAACACCAGACTTCCGGGTGGTGCCTCCTCACTTGAAAGGCCTCGTGGGCCGCACTCGGATTCACCCATGAGTCTGGAGGTCCAGTTCTGGTCGGTTCCATGTGGCTCTCTGCATCCGTTGGGCGCTGAAGTTACTGTATGAATAAGGACCAAACTTTTTTGGATCGGATAAAAACTTTGCCTCCATTTTAGCAGAAAGCAACGGTGCTTCTGGGTGGGGCACTGTTGGCTTCTGGGAAATGTACCGTATTTTCCGCTGTAAACGTTGCACCGCCCTATAAGTCGCAATATGTCTAAAAAAGTGGGAAAATCCATTAATACTTCACTTCGCCGTGTACGTCGCATCTATTTTGCATCACTGCTGTCAACCCGGAAATGTGGGCTGGTGTTGTGCCAAATATCGATTGGCTGCCAAATGGCGGCCGTTGGTGCATGCACAAGAGGACTTTAACAAGAATTTAACAAGATTAACATTTAAAAACAAATTTTTGTTTGCTTGAAATTATAGTAAAGCTGTGTCTCAGTTAAACTTGTACTTAACAAATGCACTTCGACAGTCAAATCAGCTGCATTTTCAAAAGCCGATACGCGGAAACGTGAACATGCAGAGGACGACTCGCTGTCCATTTCTTCAAAATTTAACAAGATAACCACCTAAAAACAGTTATTTGTTTGCTCAAAATTATAGCAAAGGTGTGTTTCAGTTGAACTTTTACTTAATAAATGCACTTCACTGGTCAAAGTAGCTGCATTTCGCCGGGGCGGTGCAGCAAAATGAAAACGGTTTGACGGTTGCTCTAGGTAGACGACTGTGGCAGGCTATGGCAAGCCGATTGTGTCATTAATAGTCAGGTATACCTATTACATGATACAATGGCATGCTACACTGCTCAAATGCCAACTAATAGCTGAAAATGGTAGTGTTCAATATTTTCCGTCAGAATGAATGAAAACGGTCATATCTCAGCCAAAAATCAGTTTATAAATATGGGAAAAAAACATAAATATGTCACTTTGGTGTATAAGTTACAGGGCGTGCAAATTATGCAAAAAACTGCGACTTATAGGCCAAAAAATACGGTAGTCGTTTTGAGTGGCGATACAGTATAGGCTTATTGAGAAAAGACTACAAAATGGTGACACCTGTCCAAAATATTATTTTTTGTTAACTTTTGACTGTATAGTATCCCGTACTGGCCCAGTCACGTGAGTAACATTAAAGTTGACAATTGTGCATCGTGTACAATTTTTTTTTCTTGTGTACAATTTTACTTTGGAAAAACCGCTCGAGTGAGTCCGTGAAAGTCGAACCACGAAGTAGCGATGTATGTGCCATCTTACACGATCTGTTAATTCTTGGAGTATGTGTTGGAAAAGACTGTCGGCTACTATCACACTAAATTTAAACGCATTATTTGTAAAATTCATTGGAGTGTAACCATTTATGTGTAGACTAAGACTGATTAAAAACAGTATCTCACTGTGGTGGCCAGTGATTACTATGATAGTTGAATTCAAATTTGTTTAATGGTTTATAAAATAATTTGGTAAAGGTACAAACCAACACATAAACTTCAGCACAAGCATCATTGCGCTGTTGTCACCTTCAGCAGTGGGCGGTTTAAACTCAAAGGCAAGTGTCACAGAAAATGGGATTATTTGTCTCTCCAAGCTGAGCACCAACATATGGTGTTGAATAGATGCTGAAAAAATTGTTTCAATCATGGCCACAAAACAAAAACAACTGTTGCTTCACCACATCGTATGCTTCAGTGTGTGAGAAGGAAACGGGGATTGCTCAGAACATGGATGGATAAGACGAGACTAAAGGAAGGCATCCAGTTGAAACGTGGTATCAGACTTTTGAACAAGGCTCATATAATAAAACGTATTGACTGAACACAGTCGTGGGCTGCTGCATCACGAAGCAAGTCAAAGAAGATGCTTGAGAAGGACAAACTTTTTGTTTGAGTCTACAGGAAACCTGCTGAAACCCTGTCTTTATCCATCCAGGCCTGATTTCAGCAGCCGAAGCTGAAGACGTTTAGCTGCCAATCTGCAGGTCAGAGGAAGCAGTGAGGTACAAACGGTCATTAACTATTGAGGCTTATTATGCGAGGACATCATCTCTGAGAAAAGAGAGGATGTCGATATCTTTGCTGTGCTCGTTCAGCACTTACACAATGTTTACACGTTGTAAATCAATCGACTTAACGCTGCTTGAACAGTGTAATTAAAATGGTAAAATGTTTGAGCTTCTTCTCTGCTGTTGGATCAAGTGAACACCCGAATAAACTTTAAGCATATTTAGCTCCAATTACACTGTACAGTCTTTAAAGATGTCTAATTTTCAAGTTATTTTTTTCTCCTTTGATATTGATTTTTTATTATTATTTTTTGCCATTGCCATGAAAGGCAGAGGATCATGTAATGATCTGTTTGTGTGTGTTTGTCCGTCTGTCTAACAGCAAAATATCTCATGAGACACTGAGCAGAAACAATCACTCTACAACTCTTATAACGTTTGGAGTCAATCAGCTTCAAGATGGCTGTTACAGCCAATGATCTACAAAATCAAAAATGGATATAACTACAATAATCTAACAGCTATTGAACTAGAATTTAATGTAGTAGCTGAGACTGATCCCCAACACACACTCTGAGCACCAACAGATTAAACAGCATCTCTGATTAAATTATTACAAATAGATTTAAATCATTGAATCTACAACTGATTACATTGTGAAAACAATCCAGTTTAAGATGGCTGCCACAGGCAACTGATAGTAGAAACACAAAAACGGCTACGGTTCTATCATTTTACTTTTTCCCTTCTTTCGGCTGCTCCCTTCTTCAGGGAACTAAATCGCATTTTTACGCCGGATGCTCTTCCTGACGCTACCACAGCCCTCTGTGTGGAGCAGAGAGCTGCCATCCAGGGCGCCCAGGGCAGCAGATGGTGGGTGTTGAGGGCCTTGCTCAAGGGTCCAGAGTGGGGCAAAAAAGGGTGGAGGCAGGTGTGGGTGTTTCACCTTTCACACCCACATTTTGATGTTTTCGATCCGGGAAGTTGAACCGGTGACCTTCCGAGCACAGGCCCACCTTCTCTGACCTCTGTGCCACCTCTCCCCATTTTACATATACAGTACTGTACAGTACTGTGTAAAACTTTGGTGTGGATGGAGCTGAGACTTTTTCGCACAAAGTTCAAAGTTCTATTCATCGCACAAGAAGTTTGATTAAAACTTTAATATTAACTGTTGGAGTTACGCCTGTCATGATAACAAATTTTGCTGGGCCATTGTCTCAGAAATTATTGCGATAAACGATAATATTGTTTGAAATTTGGCAATAATTAGTCATTATTGTCAAATTTAGGAAGAAATGTTTAATTTGTTTTGCGTGTAGTATCTTTGTTTGACCACCGGAGGGCAGTATGACTGATTGAACTGTAGGATGGATAGTGAGGGAGCGAGCAGCGTGTCTCTTTAAGAAAAATGGGAGGGAGGCCCCTTGATGTGACATGGGCTGTCTCTCTTCGGTTCTCAAAATGGTGGATGCTCGGTGTGGTTTGAGCTCTTTAGCAATAGCATTTGTCAAACAAAGCTTTTAATTAAAAAATCAGTAAACAAGCTCTCAGCTTCTTTTTGCAGAGAAAAAACTTTTTAGACAAAGGCACGGGTTTCAACCGTGAATTTTGGAGTTTTGACAAGACAGAGGTTTTTTTTCCCCTGAGGTTGGCCTGTTAGCATAGCTCGTAGCTTAGCTTCTCAGCTTAGCTGCTTTTAACGATCCAAAAACACGATTTTGGACGGTTAAAATGGATTTAAAAGAGAAAGGGAGGAGTCGATGAAGAGAACCGGAGTTGAACCTTTTGTCATCCAGTGTCTTCAGTAGAAAGAGAGACACGAAGAAACGATAAAGCCGATAAATTAAAATGAGGTTGATCATTTTAATTTATCATGTGATTAATTTATTTATCGTTTATCGGGACAGGCCTAGTTAGAGTTAATCCTTGTTTGTATGTTAGCAAAATATTTTACTGAACATATTTTAATGAAACTCGTAAAGTAATCGTTGGCTCTACATCTACACCTGATTCACTTTTTGAGTAAATCAATTCAAGATGGCCACCACATCTGACGTTAATAAACTCATAACTGGCTGTAATAGTCATTTTTACAGATAAATTATAGTGTGGTAGTAGCTGAGAGTCGTTATCAACACGTTTCCAGAACAGTTATATTACTCTGGGTTTTGCATGGTGACTGGTGGCATGCAAACCTTGAAGAAATGCCGCTTTGTATTTTGTCAGAGTTTCCTAGATTGCCTACATTAAAAAATGTAACACATCATCCCTTAATGTCATTTTAAACGCAGCTTGTTCAAATTGTTTTCCGTGTTTCTTCCTCAGTGCCATCACTCTGGACAACACCCTGGTTATCTTGTCCACGGTGGCGCCAGATGCAGGGCGATATTATGTGCAGGCGGTAAACGACAAGAACGGAGAGAACAAGACCAGCCAGCCCATCACCCTGTCAGTGGAGAGTAAGTAGCCACATTTATGCTGACCCAGAATGCAATGCAACGTCGCAGCACGTCAAAAGCTGATCAGTTTGAATTTTTTTAATTAATCATGTATCTTGTTGCATATTATCACATTCAAGTCACGTTCGTTGTGATTTTTTTTCTAGCTATTGTTAAAAAAACTATTTGTGACACACTAAAATAAAAATAAAAAAAATAGGATGAGGGGCACCAAAATAACAAATTTTAAAAACTCGCATCTTTAATTACCGTAATTTCCGGACTATAAGCCGCTACTTTTTTCACACGCTTTAAACCCTGCGGCTTATACAATACTGCGGCTAATGTATGGGATGTTTGTTTTTTTTGACGGGCTAACGAGCTTTATGCATGCAGGGTACTGGATTTTTCTTTTTTTTTTTTTTTTTTTAAACCAGATGTGTTACAGGCACTGTTCAGAAAAAAAAAAAAAACATTTACTGTACGTATTTGTGGATGTTACCAATACGTATTTAATTAAAAGTTTAAAAAAAATCTTTGTGTAAATATCTCGTTACAACGTGGACACAATATATGTGCATATTTTTTATTTAATTAGTGGATGCGTCTTAGATTCAGGTGCACTCAAAAGTCCAGAAATTACAATAATAAATTTTGTATTCTTCACTTTTCTATCCATGCAAACCTAAAACATTGTTAAATTCACCCACATGCATGGTAATATTAGCTTTACAAAGGTGTATGTAAGAAATTTCAATATTAGTGCATAAATACTTACCCGCCAGACACACATGCACAATAAAAGAAAGCCCGAACAAATTGTTTTAGCACCAAGTAGTTCTTCAAATTCAGCAAAAGTGGGAGATCCACAAATCGAAGCAATCTAGCCGGCCTCAGCTCAACAGGGGTAAAACGAAAGAGGAAATCTAACAGACAGGGGCTTATGACATGCTAGACTGGAGTTCATTATGAAAGTGAATGAGGAGGGCGAGGGTAAGATATTACAGTTGACAACACGAGCGAGCAGAAATAGCCCGTGGCACATGTTGAGAACGATGGCAGAGTTGATTATACAAGTGCTAGAACACACACATGCAAACACACCAAAGTCAGCATGTGGAGAGCCAGACGGGGGGTCTCCACTCTGCAGTTCTGATGAAAACGTGCCATGCATTTCCATTAATATTCCCCATATGCTCCATATGTGAGGTTTCACATTTTACTGTAGGAGCACATTTATCTGTTTGTGTGTATCTGTGCAGTGATGCTTCTGACGGTGCATTTCAGATTAGGCTTTTTTTTGGCTCCGCATGTGCATGTCTGAAGCTTGGTGAATACAAAGGAAGTAAGGTACAGGGTATAAAAGTGATTTAATTATGATATTTTAATATTTTAAGAACACCAAAGACCGATATAAAGCCAATATTCCAGCATAGAACAAGTTATTAAGAAAGTATACAAATACCGTACTTTTTGCCGTATAAGTCGCACTGTTTTGCATAAATTTGCATGCCCTGCAACTTATCCGTCGAAGCCACTTATTTACATTTTTCTCCATATTTTTAACCCAATTTTTGTCTGAGATCTGATGATTTCATTCATTCTGACATGAGAATTATTGAACACTACCATTTTCAGCCGCTAGAGGGCCCTCAACTAATTTGACAAGCCAAGTATCTCATTAATAGGTAAAAGTGGCTATTAATGAAACAATCGGCTTGCCATACAAAGCTACCTTCGTCTCGCTCCGGAACTCCTGAAGCAAACGATCAGCTGCATTTCATTGCGCTGCCCATGCGAAATGCAGCTGCTTTGACAATTAAAGTGCATTTATTAAGGAAAAGTTCAACTGAGGCACACCTTTATTATAATGTCGAGCAAATAAATAATTGTTTTTAGGTGGTTATCTGGTTAAATTTTGAAAAAATGCACAGCGAGTCCTCCCTCTGCGTGCTCCCGCTTCCGCAAATTTATTTTTGAACTGCAGCTGATTTGAACGTCAAAGTGCAATTATTAAGGAAAAGTTAAACTGACACACCTTTGCTATAATTTTGAGCAAACAAACAATTGTTTTTAAATCTTATTCTTGTTAAATTCTTCTCCTCCCATGCACGCTCCCGCGGCCGCCATTTGGCAGCCAATCGATCAGCAATGACGCGTAACAAACGTGATGCGTCAGCGATGACATATAATAGATGCGACTTATCCGACGTGGCAACATGTACGGCGGCAAGTACGGTCATCAAAACTAGAATAAAAGGCTAAAAATGAATTTATTGTGTATTTAATATGAAACAAGGTCAACCATTAGGGATTAAAGTAGCTTTATTACACTGAGTCTGTTGAAAAATATCTTTATGCGTTGTGAACTGGAACTAAGTAAGATTTCATGACACTACATGCAGTGGGGAAAAAGCATCTTGTTCTAGTTGGATGTCCGACTCATTTGTGTTACTGAATTGTAATATCTAGTGTCCTGCGCATGCATTAGCATTAAAATTCTGCACCCTAGCGTCAAAATGTAAAAAGTTCTGTGACAGCCTAAGCTAGTAAAGGCTGATCTTGTCTTGGTTCCACATGGCATATACTAAAAAAATATGTTTTTTTTATCGTCTTAAATTTCTCTTTTTACATGTTTAAGCTTTCCAAAAAACAATGAAAACGATTGTAAAACAAAAGCTTTATCAGTTCATTTAACACCTGTTAGTGGTGAGTTTATGTAGCCTTTGACAGCTAAGAGTTTCCCTTCCTGTTTGGTGAAGCTTCCACTGTGTTTGCTTCAAAAAAGCTAAAAGGGAAGATTTTATTTTACTTTGTTTAAGAATCCTTTGGTTTGTAACTCACTCCGTTTTTACTTAAACCAGTAACACATTTTTCACGAGTGGGGAAAAGGCCCCAACAATGATCAATCCACCTTCATCGTTGACTGTGTTTTACCTCATTATGAACCTTTTTTGTTTATTTGACGCTTAATCTCACCAAAATGCATCACTCATTTCAAGATGTCCATTGCAAACTTAGCGTCGAAGGTGCAGAAAAAGATTTCCTTCCATAATTTAATTTTTGTGCAGCTTCTGCCCAGTATCTCCAAAAAAAACCCTCCCTTTTACTGTTTAACACTTAAACAGGCTTTGAATAGTCTGTCCTCAGAACTCTGAGAACTTCAACTTCAATTTCACCCCCTCATTCTCATTATCAGACTTTTTTAATTACACCTCAAGCTGAAGAAGCAGAGAGTTAGTCTTTTCTTTCATTTTCCTCCCCCTTTCAGCAACATCAGTTCAGAGAATTTGACAGCTGCTTTGAGCGGCTCACGACTGCTATTGAGACGAGATTTGATGAGCATTTATAGAACGTTGAAAAATGCAACACCTGACCTTTTCTAATGATGCCTGCAAACAAAACACCTAAAACTCAAACAATGGCTGCCTGAGAGCTCAAGTCAGTTTTTTTCTTTGTGAGCATGAGCTGCTTTCAGCCAGGAATTATACCAAAATAAACTGAACAATTATATTTCAAAAGATATTGCTAGTAAGACAAGTATAGAACCGTCTTTAGACACCTCATCTTTATACTAAAATCCTGACTCTGTACTCACCCATGTGGGGTCAATAGTGATGTTCAACCAGGCTTCAAAAATGGCCAAGTTAACATATTTCTAACGTCACTTTGAAGCGTACAAATGTTTTGACGTACTTTAAAGGTATGTCGGATCAAGTGTGTTCCAGGTGACAAGCAGTCAATCATTGGCTCCCTCTCAGGTGTGTGTGTGATTTGAGCGTAGATCAAGGCGTGCATAAAACCGAGATTGGTATTATTGAGTCATGACAGCCCCCGTAGCAACATCTGACATGTGCAGCCACGAGCTCAGTCCCAGTGCATGATGGGATTGACAGATCACTGCGAGTTTATCACAGACATGACACGTCTCAAGCTGCACACAACCACGGGCTCTTTCTGATGCTCAACACACACACACATTCCTTCAGATGGAAACTAGTTTGCACATTTAGTGCAAATTTAAAATACTGCATGTAAAATATACAGAGCTGACAGTTCACCTCTTTGTGGTGGTTAAACAGGATTTTTCTCTTTATGTTTTGGGTGAAATGTTCTATGCAGTCTGTCCTCTGTCTCATCTATCGGTCAGAACCCGTGTTCCCTGGTCAGTTTCAATATTTCATATCAGTGAGCACCTAGAGAGCGCAGTGAGCTGAAATTAAATTTGTAGAACACTTAAAAACGTCCCCTCAAACAACCAGCTGCCTCACGATGCAGTGCCCCCATCAGATCTGGTTTTATCAATAAGTCCGCTTCAGAAGGGTCTACCTAAAAACTTTTCCTTTATTTTCTTCTTATGATCTGTAAAAAGAACAAATTTGGTGTAACTTTAGATCTTTTCTTTATACTTGTGTGTATATATATATATATATATATATATATATATATATATATATATATAT